TATCTCACTTTTTTATAAAAATTAATTGCTAATGGCCACAAATTTGGGGCTTATTTTGTTTTTGCAGATTTTTATTGAAAATATGAGAAAGGAAAAATTGAGAAAATGGAGTGACAGCAGTATCTGCTGGGGACCACTGCTTATAAGCTCACTGAGGAAAATTTCATTTGTGCAACTACCATTGGGAATAAACTTGCAACAATCTTGCAAATTGGTCCAACATACCTTTTTTGAAACTGACTTGGGTCCACTGCTTAGCCAAATTTGTTTTTAGCTTATTGCTCAAATTTAATTTTCCCAGCATGTGCATGCATTTGCTATGGCGGCGACATTTTGGGCAACTGGCAGGTTGCACCTAGGGCCAAGTCACATAAGACTGGACCAGTTGGTGGGGAAGGATTTGGCCGCCCCTGTAACTGTTGGGGACAAGTGTGGATGGGACATAATGGTGGGAACTTGGTGGGTTTGTGGTGTTTTGCGCAACTCTGTCACCTCCTGGAAAACCCTTCAAATGTTTTCCACCAGCTCAGTGGAAGATAACTTTGGAATGGGAACTGCAACCCTTAGTGGGTACGCCATGAACCACCTCTCATCCATCACATGGGCCATATCGCCCTGGGTGGTGAGAGGCATGGGTGCCATCTTCCACACTTTTTTGAGTGTAATGGGAAATGGTCCCAATCTAGATGGAGGGGTTCCTTTCTGAGACTTACACAGTTGCTGGTATTGAGTTACTAATAATTAATTAATATAATTGGTCTTTTATTCTCAGCTTTAGTCATTAATAATAAAAATAACACTTAATTCATTATAAAGTGAAAATTTTCAATAAATCCAGATCTGGAAGAATCATATAAATAGCCTAGCTCAATCTGATGGGGAGCAAAAATTGGCACATTTTATTAAAAAATATTGAAGCGTTGTATTTAGTCAATCTGCTAGCACTGACCAATATCATCCCTTATTTTTTTATTTATGGAAGGAGAACCTCTGGTTAACTTATCAATACCATCATTATAATTTAAGCCAATAATAAAAGGTTTGATACTACTGTAATGCGATTTTCAGAAAACTGATTAGTTGCAATAACCCTGGATGCACCTGATCAACTAAATAATCAACCACTCTGGAATAATGTAAGTATTGATATAATATCCAGTGGACAGATTTCACAGTGGATGAATCAACAAGCATCTTTACCTCACATGATGTGCCCATCCCACAAAAATCCCTTGGTAACATGGCATCTGATGAAGCAACACATCACTGCTGCTGAAAAGTGGTTATCCACGCGTCAGCATCACGCATCTACAGCATCGTCTACCTGACTCCAGCGCTCTCTAGACCATCTGGAAAGAAACGCCCTATGCAGGGGTTACAGCCCATCTTGGACTAGCAGATGGGTTGATACAACTATTTGTTTGTAAGGGTTAGATATTTCAGACCAACGCCGTTAATCATCTTGGCTGGTGCCTCTCAGATCACCAAAGGGAATAGTTTAACAAGTTTTTATGCACTACTTTACTGCATGAAAACAAGTTATTTTTTGTACCCAGGTTCAAACTAGCTCAGACGCAATTGTTTCCTCTACCAATGAAGTACCTGAAATTGCTCATCAAAATTTACAGTAACCTGTATCAAGCTGATGACTGTACACCAGAGGACATACAACATTTTTATAAAGATTAAATTCTACTCTCCTCTTAACTTATTTAGTCATGTTAGTGTTGTTTCAATGAAGAACTATGGGATGCTGTACGCAGGGCACCTCACCGTAAAAGCCCTGGCTCAAATGGCATTCCTTATGAGTTCTATCAGAAGCAGTCAAAATTAGTCGTACCTTTACCCAAGACCTTAAAACGCCTTCTAGAAACTTGCCTACTGCCTGGTTGGTCAGAAGCCTTTGTGGTCACATTATTTAAAAGGGGATCCTAATGAATTTGGTAACTAGAGCCAAATTTCACTTACCAACGAAGACTCTAAAATAATAACCAAGATACTTTCTGAGTGTCTAGGTAAGATTGCCCAAATAGCAAATCACTCAATTAGTATGGGTTTGCCCCACTTGCAGTAAATGGTTAAACATCCATACTGGTGCAATATATGTCAGTCTAGGTCAGATGGTGCCCTAATTTTCTTGGATTAACAAAAGTCATATGTTAATGTGCATTGTAAATACCTTGGGCGTCCCTTGAAACTTCCTCCTCGTTTTATTAACTGGGTGATGCTTTCAACTGAGTCAGCTACCATGGCTATCTGGGTCCCAGGGGTTTTTTACTGATCTCATTATCCCACAAAGCGGTTTATAACAGGGTGATCCATTTTAGCCTTTTGTTGTATAACATTAAGCTGGACCCAGCCCAGCGCATCATAGATTAGACCCTGAAAAGCACTACCTCTCAGGCCAGAACCCTCTCTAAGTATCAGTATTTGCAGATGATAGTGTGGTGGATGCTTACATTCCATTAAATGCTCGCTCCCTAGAGCAGACATAAATCAATATGAGCAAGTAAGCAATGGCAAGGTCATTTGCCACAAGAATGAGATCATACACCTTGGCAAGCACCATCTATAGTGGCTCAATGGAGATTTTTGTCACCCTTCAGCTAGAAGATCAGTTGTCCCATTCTAAACAACCCCCTCCAATCAACCATTTCGCCACATAGGTATATGTTTGGAATTTGGGAGGATATGCATGTACAGTTATGAAGAGTAAATTCATTTATAGTATCTTTAGCCACATAGCTATTCACCATGGCCATGTAAGTCTGAGTGGATCATCCCCTCCGTTTGGACTGAGTGGCGTTCTCATTCTTATCAAAAAAGAACTGAGAAGGCCAACTTCGCATTTCATCTCCCAGGGCAACCTCGCCCATGTGGTGGATGAGCAATGGGTAACAGTTTATCCTGAAAAACCCCTCCATTCATCACAGTATTAACTTCAGTAAAATTGGTACTGCAAATCAAGGAAATTTGTGCCAATCAATCAGAGAGTCACCATCCACATAAGGTAGAAAGTTTGGATGAAGTTGATGGCAACAAGCCTTCAGCATCAGTGCCCAAAAAGCCCCAAATCTTGGCAACAAAGCCCAACTGGCGCAACCTTTTTGTAAATAAAGCGTCTAGTGTCAAATCTTTGTAAAAGCTGCTGATAGAATTGGGCCATCAGAAAATGTTGCCAATAGTTTAAAGCCCTCCCCAAAAGCACCAGAATCTTTGTCTGATATACCTTGCTTGGCCAAACAGATGCCGGAGCAACTGGGTGTGGGTGGATTGGGCGCCCCAAACCCATTCCTGACCTCTTGGGACCGCCCCTACATGGGGTGGCCTTGGGGGGGTTCCCACTGCCCATTGGGCAAGATTCTGATGCTCTAATCGTCAGAGCCACAGAAAATCTACAATTTAAGCATTTGAGGCCGAACTTTCAGCAACTCATCCCACCGCCAACTCTTTCAAATTCAGTTTAAATTAAGTTCATTTTCCTTTCCCCCTAACTTGAAATTTGCCAGGTTAGGTCAAACCTTGAGGGCCCCAAACCCATGCTTTTCTAAGCTATTCTCCAATCAATTGTCTATTTATACAGTTGTAACACACTAAGGAAATTGACAGTCAATTTTTAATTGTAAATTTTATTAAAATAATCCCACGTTCCAGTTTATTTGGTTAGAAGCTCAATTTTTTTGCCAAACCCCCGTGACATCTCCAATGTGGCCTTATGGGCCTCATATTGACTGAGCAATCCCAGTCATGTTAGTAACTTTGGTTCCTACCGATGTCAATTAAACATATCATGTTAAAAATTTTGTGGAACTCTCCCCAATCGCGAAGGCCATAGGCCAGCAGGATCTTGGTATTTTTGGGACCAACTATACCCACTCCAGGTGAGGATCTGCTCCTCATTAATGTTGTTGGACCCAATTCTCCTATGTGGAGCACCAAAGTACCCAATCCAATTTTTCAACTTCCTACACCAAGACCTGTTGGGCCTGGAGCTACAACATCCTGTTTCCTTGCTTGGTTGCTTTTTATGCTCTTGGAATGTTGGCATTCAATTGTTACCTATCTCCCCGTATACTTTGACGTCATTTAAGCAGCAATGCCCCTGCCGTTCTGGCTCACCTTTTGGGTGCAACTGCATCCTGATTGGCAGGCCAGTCTCAACTTATCTGCCATACCCTTACAGGCCAACAATTGGGCTTTTGGGAAAAAGTATTATTAGCAAACACCCTGATTCACAAAAAAATTTAGTCTACCTCTCATGCAATACCATTTACTACTTCCTTTTCAAAGCACTAAGGGCTATATTGCAATCATGGTTTAGGTGTGGTCAACGGGAATCTATCAAGATTAAAACCTATTTGGCAAATTTTCTCAGGTGGCATGGGCCTCATCAACTACCATCAACAAACCACTCAAATTTTTAACAAAATAGATTGTCAAGTAACATGCTCTATCCCAAATGGTCTCCATTGTGTCAGGGAGATGGCAAATTGTTTAAGACTGGCCTTCCAGTCGGGTGAAAAAGCACTCAAAAGGCGAGCAAGAATGCCTGAGGCATTGCTTATGAACGAGATTGTGGTATATGGAAAGATGAGTGACAAATTAAGGGTCAGCTGGCATAAGCATAATAAGGATCTTCACAAGGAATCAGGACGTCATGGCTCCATACCCAAATGGCTTAGGCGTGGGGAGTTGCAAGATCAGATTGGGGGTTTTAGGGCTCTCCATAAGGGGACTGAGTTTGACAACACGGGTAAGGAGCGGATTCTCACCTGCAGTGGAGATAATTGATCCCACATGATACCAATATCCTATTGGCGGATGGCTTCTACAATTGGGGAGTGTTCCACGAGATCTTTTTAACAATAAACCCACTTGACTTCAGTAGGAGCAAGAGTCACTAGCATGACTGTGATTTCCCAGTTGATGTTAGGCCTGTGAGGCCACATTATAAGAGTCTCAGGGTTTTGTTAATGAAAAATTTTAAATAGATCAAGATAGCATAACTCAGGGGGTGGAAGGCGATTTGGTAGGGTGTATGGCTACCAACCTGAAGGTTGCGGGTTTGATTCCCGCCCTTCACACATTTATTGGGGTGACAGCTGAAGGAAGCTATTGGCTGTTAGCAGGTCTAATAACATAAAAAACCTTACCCATGATGTAACTGGAAAAGTCCAAGTCCTGATCAAGAGGAGGAAAACTTTCATTGATGGAGTTGACCCTGCTCAGGTTTCATGTCAATAATTTCTTTCTCTATTTCAGTAATGTCCGTCCCCTGGTTGGCTTGCCTCAAATAAATAAAAGATAGCAGAACTCAGGAGATTTTTAATGAGTGTTAAATTAAGAAAATTGACCTTCAATTATCTCAGTGTGTTATGACTGCTTAAATAGACGATTGATTTGAGGAAGAGCTTAGAAAAGCATGGGATTGGGGCCCTCAAGATTTGACCTAACATAGCTAGTACTAAAAAAAAAAGATTTGACCTAACATGACAAATTTTAAGTGAGGGGGAAAGGAAAACGAACTGAATTTAAAAGAGTTGGTGATGGTCTGAGTCTCTATCAGTTCAGCCTCAGATGTCCAAATTGCGGTTTTACCAAGTTTTTAATATTTAGTGTGTGGCGCCTCGCCCAACAGGCAACATGAACCTTCCAAGGCCACCCATGTAGAGGCAGGTTCAAGAGGTTATAAACGTGTTCAGGGTGCCCAACCTGCCCGCAAATGGCCACTTTGGGGTCCATTCAGCCAAGCGGGATCCATTAAAATGAAGATTTAGATATTTGAGGGAAGGGTTCTAAGCTGGCAGTAACTTTTGACAGTGGCCCAGCGCCATTGACAAATTCTGCTGACAATTCAACATGAGGCACATTCTTCATATATTGTATACGCCTGTTGGGCTTTGTTCCCAATATCTTTGGAGCAGGTTTCAAGCCAGAAACAACATTTTTCGATGGCCTGATGTCATTGGCAAGTTTAGCAGTGGATTTGAAACTAGGCGCATTCTTCATATGAGGTACACACCTGTTGGGCTTTGTTGCTGAGTTTTTGGACTCTCAGACCTTAATTTTGAGGGCTGATTGCCATTGACCTTATGAGGACCCTTTGCCCCATGAGAATGCTAACTTTCTAATATTTTGGCACAAATTACCTCAATTTGTGGACTAATTTGGTTGAAGTACATGCAGGGACAGGTGACGGCATCTTTTAATTGAGAGCTGTTATCCTTTGCTCATCTACCACATGGGCGAGATTGCCCTGTGAGATGAGGGGACAGCTGCCCTTCTAGGACCCCTTTTTTGTGTGAAATGGGAACGCCACTCAGTCCAAGCAGAAGGGACGATCCCCTCAGACTTACATTACCCTTCTCTTTTGCAAAAGGGGGCGTCACCATAGAAAATTGGGTGAGGACCACATTATTGTGGTCCTTGGGCAACTTGATCACCATTAAAGTAGTGATCTTTGGGGGAGGATGAGGAGCGTATGGGTGGGTGAAATGGAAATCCTTGACCAGCTCCAAACAGTTAGCACAATCTTGGGCACTGACTCAACTGTTCTTGTAGGGGACGATAGTTTTTTCACGCAACAAGATATTGGACTGATCTCTAAGATTTGCGGGAAGCCATAATGCCCTCCACTTCAGCTTTCTCCACACCCTCAATCGCAATAAGCTCTTGTTCTGAGGGGAAGCCCCCTTGGACGGGGACAGTTGAGACACATGGAAGACTGGGGGTTGCTTCCAGAGGGGTGGCAAATTTATATGGAAAGCGCCATTCTATAAGTCATCTTCCACCAAGTGGGGACCTGAGCGCTTACTTTCAAACTTATGCAAGGGCACATGCATCTGAAAATGGCGTGTGTTGAGCATGACATATGAACCCACCTTTATTTCATGAGCTGGGAGCCGCTTCCAATCTGCAAAACGCTTGTAGTCACTTATAGCCTTGGTTAGATGCTCCTGAACCAAGGAATGTATGGCCCAAATATGCTGGGCATGGTCAGCGGTGGCTGGTACCTCTGGACAAAGGCACGGGACAACTGAAAATGAGGGCTTGTACCTCAAGGTCGTTTTGTATAAGAATACCAGTGGATGCATGCGTAGCATTATTATATGCAAATCGAGTGAGAGGAAGGTCATCATTCCAGGTGTCCTGAGAGGCAGCAGCGTAGTACCGCAGATACTGCTCTAAGATCTGATTGACCCGTTCAGTTTGTCCATATGACTGGGGATGGTATGCAGTGGAGTGAAAGGGTGTAGTCTTCAAGATCACCTAGAGCTCATTCCATAATTGCACCACGAACTGGTGTACGCAGTTGCTGACGATCTCCTGATGGAGGCCATACATGGACAACACATGGCGCACAAAGAGAAGGGCCTTTTTCTCAGAAATAATAGTGGAGGAGCATGGGATGAATAAGGAAAATTTTGTGAAACAGTTGACAACCACCATCACCGCTGTAAATCCATTGGAACTGGGAGCTCAACAATAAAGTCCATGGACACCAATGTTTATGGACCCTCTGCCTGTTCTAAGGGATTTAGAAGAACGTTCCTGCCATACTGATCAGACTTGGACCATGCGCAAGTTACACAGTCTGAGATCCATGTCAGAACATCCTTTGACAAGCCACCCATTTATAGGTACGCTTGATTAAGTCAATACACTTCTTATTTCCTGGATGTCCAACTGTGGGAGAATCGTGATGAGTCTGAATCGATTTGGCATAAAAAAGGGAGGAACCTAAGTCTGTTACCTAAAGTAAATGAGGCCCTTGTCCATAGAATAAAAGATATGTTTTAAAGTTGGGAGGGACAACCTCTTCAAAAGATCCACACCTTACGCACAGGCCATTTGCACTGTGAGGACCTAAGAAATTAGGGGCGCATTCAGAGCTAAGTCTGCTCCCAAAACCACAGGAGATAAAATAGATAAGATTTTGGGGGAATGACTGTGACCAAACCCGCCTCATCTTAGTCTGCTGGGCAATGCACGGGGGTGAATCTTAGGAAGTCAGGAAGGACTTTAACGCCCCTTTTACAAACTCATATTTGAAGTTAAATCTATACACATCCTGGTAGTTTTAGGCCTTCCAGTGTGCCAGCTTCTGTGGCTTGCAAAAAAGGGATTGAAGATCCGTTTGCACAGTCAACTCATGCTGAGCGCCCTGCAGGAGATACCGTCAGTGGGTCAGGGACCATGCTGCGGCAGCCAGCTCTTTGTAGTAGATGGCCCAGACTTTCTCAGTGGAAGAGAAATTGCAGGAAAAATATGCGACTGGGTGTTCCAACTCGTTGTGCTCTTGAAGAAAAATGGCCCCTACTGTGGTGGAAGACGCTTTTCATGCTACAATATAGGGTTTAGAGAGATCCACGTGCTTGAGGATAGGGGGTGACAAAAACACCTCCTTAATTGAGTCATGTCTGCTGGCACTTGGGCGTCCACTTAAAGGGAACGTTCTTGCCTGTGAGGGGATGGAGTGAGGCAGCCAACTGGATTAGTGAAGAAGAGAATTTCTTTAGGAATGTAATGGTTCCCAAGAAGCTTCTCAATTGCTTTTGGGTTGTCAGAGTTGGCCATTTGCAGAAGGTGTCCAGCTTACTAGGAAGAATAGCATACCCATCTTTCAAGACAAGGTTACCCAAGAATGTGACTTCCTCCCAGTAAAATTCAGATGTTGAAGGCTTGAAAAAAAGGCCCACCTATTGCAAGACAGCCACTACCACTTCCAAGTCCTTCACATGTTGTTCAGGAGTAGGGGAGTGTACCAGGATGTCATCAATATAAGCTACTGCGCAGGTAAACTGAAGATCACCCAGAACACTATAAATCATCCTCTAGAATGCGCGAGTGCATTCTTAAGCCCAAAAGGCATTATTTTAAAATTGAATTATGCCTCATGTGTACGGATAGCAGTAAGCCATTCCTGAACTTCTGTCACCCAAATTTTATTAAAAGCATTAACAAGATCGAGTTTTGAAAACATTTGCTACTTGACAATTGCTTGACTGATTGTCTGTTCCAAAGCCAGTGGGTAGGGGTCGTGGACTTTTATATTGTTAAGGTGCCCTTATCCAGCTTTTCTTTCTCATAACAATAACTTTAGTTACTACAATTCGATTCAAACAGTAAATTTAGATAATCACACACAGGAAAGATGGGCGACTTTAATAACAAAAATAATATAACATGGGCAAGTGTCGCGGTGAGCGGTGCACTTAACGGTGCAACTAAGGGCAAGAAACGCCCTGGAGGGGGACCAGGAACCCAAGCTGAAAGAATTGCAAACTCAGACACCATCTGGGTTTATGGTATTTACTGTAAAGCACGCGCAATACATGTACATTCAATCCAACCAACCTTTGTCAAAGGTGGAACATGGGATCAGACTCTTCCTTGGGGATGAGTCACCGACCCTTTGGGAGAAAACATGTGAGGCACAGCCCTCACTTTTCCCTCATGCGGTGTACGTAGCCACCAACAACATGGGCCACAGCTGGATTGATATTGGTTTCAAAACAGCTGATGAAGCCAATTATGCAACAAAAATCTGCGTGGAAATTGCCCTCCCTGAGGGCAAAAAATTGTGCGCACCGCGCGCACCAGATGAAACAAAGCGAAAGCTTTGTTCATCTCCTTTGACTCGCTCCTCACCAACCTTCCTCATAAGGTAATTGAGGAGGAGCTCCACAAAGTTCTCGTGGCCTACGGAGAAATCCAACAACTCAAATTACAGCAATTTCGCTTAATGCCCGACCTGTGCACAGGCAAAGCTATCATGGTAATCAACCCCTTCCCAGAAGTGGAAGAGGATTTATCCAGAATTCCCCGCACAGCAGAATTTCACTTCGCAGATGGGGGTCAGTCAGCTGCATTCTGAGTTAAACCAGAATGCGCACGCCCATTTGCAACCACTGTGGCTCACTGGGCCACAGGGAACATGCATGCCCTGTGAAAGAGGGCTTAATGGAAAATGATTTTTGTGAGGAAGCTATGGATGAAGATAATGAAAACTTCACCAAAATTACTGATGGTCACCACCCACTCCGCTGGGGTGAAGTGGACTATACTCCATCGTGGACCCAGTTA